GTTTGGGGTGGGGGGGGGGGAGGGGCCAAATATATTGTTTGTCACGTTTTTGGCTTGAAAATATCTTTATTATTGTATTTTTGACTCAAAATGGCCTTCAACTATCAAACTAGCTCAAAAACATCCTTCTTGTGAATGATTGTTTCAAAACTAGGAAAAATGGATCAAGTTTTCTCTATAAACCCGAATCATTTGTACATCTTCTTTTAATTTATCCGAATCATCTATGTCCCACTTCTCGCATCTTAACCTATAAGGAGGCCACTCCTACCTTATGTTGAATATTTGTTTTTCCTAATCTTATCTCACATGGTATGTCTATAAATCTATCTCAACATTCTCATCTTTAATTTGCTACTATCATCTCTTGAGTATGAAAATTTTTGACCGGCCAACACTTTGACGCATAGAGTATAATTGCTCTAACCACTACTTTGTAGAATTTATCTTTAAGTCAGTTTGGTGACATATTCTTGTCATACAAAACACTAAATATGAGTCTCCATTTCATCCACCCCGTTTTATACGATGCATGACATTTTTATAGTTATCATTGACTAATGAGTAATTTTTGAACAAAAAACATTAATGATACCAATACAATATATATATATATATATTATATAGAAGAGTGAAGACGACCAGGACGACCAAAGGCAAATTTGTCATTTCATAAATATTCTAGAATATTTGTTTTTATGTTATGACATCAAAAAAGTAGTAATAGATTTATAATGACAATACAACCAAATATCTTTTATTAAATGTCATGTGTATCCTAATGATGTGACATTTATGGACCCACATTTTCAATCACATTTTCTATAGATTTTTTTATTTTATTTTTGTAGTGTGAAATTTTCATTAAACCAAAAATATCTATTAAACAATTGGCATTTTAGTAATTTTAATATTATTTAAGGGCGAAATAATAATTGTATAATTAATGACCAAAATGAAAATCTAGAAAAATCCATACATGTCTTTACTTTTAAAATCCATACATGTCAATAGAAATGACTTTGTTGAGAAATATAGAGGAACAAAAAAACTAAATAAATAAATAAATTAGGGAAAAACAACCTGAAAAAGAAAAACAAGTATATTGATTATTTTGTTGGGGGTAAGATTTAAAGTTTTCTTTTACGGCATGATATTAAGAGTGTAGTATCAAAAAATTTATTAATGTAATTTAGAATATAACATTATGATAATTGTTATTCAATATAGAAAAAAATTTCTTTCATGATTATTTTTATTGGTGTGGAGTTAAAAATAATTTTTTAATAAATAATTTCAATATTTAGAATATAACATTACGATAATTGTTATTGTATATAGAAATAAAGTTACTTTCATGCTTGTTTTTATTGTTGTGGAGTTAGAAAATCAATTTTGATTAGTACTTTCAATATTAAAATCAAAATAAATAGAAGTATTTCTATTTATCGAAGACAATAATAAAATGTATCACAAAATTCATAGACAAAGCAAACTACAAACACAGTATACTAAAGTTGAACCAATAGAGATTTGAAAGACTTTGAATTGATCTTTACGAATTGGTTGATCAATGATTAGTATTTTATCATATGCAAAGCTTATGGTGCAAATATTACAAAAAAAAGAAGATAATAACATAGTGAAAAATAGATACCACTTGTGAAATATATGTAGACCGATGAACTTTTTCAAAGACATCAACATTTTATATATTCCTCGAACACGATATGCTTTAACTCATAATCTAACACAATTCTCTATTTCCTTGCTGCATAGAATTTTTCAGAATTCAACTTTCTCAATTTGGGTTGTAAACGACGCATTTATGTCGCATGAACATTTGAAATAGATTATTAAGTGATATATTGAAGTTGTTTACTGAAGAAAAAAAATAGTATAAAGTACAAAAATCTCATATCTTTGGAGGCTAATTAAATCCTATTCCGAAAGTTTTCTCAATTACAAAAATCTCAAATTTTTCATTGTTTTCGAATACATTCCTTGATTTTCCGATACATTGCAAATGATATATTACTCTATGGGAGGGATGTATCCGAGAGGAGATAGGTATGTATCCGAGAGAGGATAAATGTATCCGATAGGGAATAAGGATGTATCCGAGAGGGGATTATGATATCTTAAATTGTAAATTTTGTAATTTTCTAATAAAGTATGTGAAATTATATTGGGCCCGTATTACGGGCCTTAAATTACGAGGCTCATATATCTATCTTGTTCTATTTATTACTATATATATATTATATTTCTATTTCTATTATATAGAAATGTGAAGTGGAGGACGACCAGTGGCAAAATTGTAAATATATGTTCATTTAAAGGGTAAATTGTTCAAGCATATACCACGTGGCTGCCTCATATCCACAAATTAGAAAAAACCTGTTACTCCTGACCAGTGGCACTTCAGCAAATTTGACTTTATATAAGGGCAAAAAGGTAATTACGTCATGAGATTAAAGTGGACTCTGGAAGTATCGATTTCTTTCTAGAAGTATCGATTTCTCTTTCTTCTCATAAGAGAACAAATAAAGAAACGCCAATAACTTGTAGAACTCAACGGACGACGGCAAACAACAATTTTCTCTTCCTCTTCTCTTCATCCCTGTGACTCCAGGTATGCTTTCCATTCAAAAATTTTGCTTCAAATTTATTTTTGTTTTCTTACGTCTTCCAATTTTATTCGTCAACCTTTGTTAATCGCTCTCTTTATTCTCTTTACAAACATAACTGCCTCAATAAAGATATTAGCAGACATTGGAGTTTGGGCATCACATTTTTCTACAGGAAAGAGTATTTAATCTTCAATAGTATTCTTCCAATAATGTGAGTGAACCTATACAAAAATCATATGTAGATAGTCTTAACATGTTAATGGAACCAATCTCAGAAGGAATATTCCCTGTCAAGTTATTTTCGCCAAGGCTTAAGGATGTAAGACTGGTCATGTGAACTGAATATATCATATCCTATTGTATATTATGCTCCGTTGAAGTGTTGTTGAAGTGTTATTATGATACACTTATTTTTGTGTTTTACGAGATGAGTTAGCATGTTTATTCTCTCAAAATTTCTCCCCCTCTTTGCCCGTCCCCTTTTTGAGGTGAGGGCAAAGGGGTGATAGAAACCATTTCTTCTGAGGGTAGATTAGATTAGCAATTTATCTCTTTCTGGTCTTCAGTAGCCTTTATGTTCTAGCAAAGTCTATGGTTTGCTATCAACTACGATATACAGATAACATACCGGTTTAATGACTGTAGTTTGTGGTGGTGGGTATGGGGGTTGGGAGGTAAGTGGTTGGGCTAGATAGATAAATCGTACGACATAAAATGATCTTTAGATTTTCTTGAATTTAGTCGTTAGTTCTCTCTCTCCACCCACTTACATTGTCGAGGGTGGCTCTTCCAACCCCAACGTATAATTGCTATTTATATAAGCATTCTGCATATGAATATACAAGCACAATGAATGCTTCTTTCTTCTCATGCTACAAATATGAGGAAGTTCATTGTTGGTGAAAAAATTGTATATCAAGGAAGAGTTTAGCACTAATATTTTTCATTTTAGCTAGAAAAGAGTGTAGTGTTTTTCCTGGAAGTTTAGGCAAGGCGTTGGTTCTTAGTTTCTAATTCACATCGTCTGGTATCTTGACATAGGTTAGATAGCTGAATGAGTTGTAAGTTGTTTTCTTATTGCCTGATATAGGGCTTGAATTCAAGGGAACTTTTAAAAGAGTTGAGTTAATACTTGATAGTATGGTGAACTTACAGAAATGTCAATGACAACATGCATTGTTAATGTATGCTATGGCAGAATAGAAATCAAATTCTTGGAGCATAAACCTGAAAGGATACTTAATAACCATGGACGACCACTGGCAATATTGTAAATATATGTTCATTTAAAGGGCAAATTGTTCAAGCAAACCACGAGGTGGCCATTCTTTTCATTCAAGATATTTTGTCCTTTTTTAATTACGTGGTTTGCCTCATATCCACAAATTAGAAAATATCTATTACTCCTTTCATCATCAACAAGACTTCTCTAGAATAAGCATATACATTGATTTTATCAAGCCACTCTTAAGGTACAACTCCCATTCAACACGGATGATCTAGATCAGAAGATTTTCAAAACTTTCAATAATTTCTTACCATTCAAGGTATAGTTTTATTCATGTCTTCTTCTTTTTTTCCCATCTTCTTCTCGAATTTCCTTAGTTTGTGATGTACTATGATGGCAATTCTGTCTACAAAGACACTCTGTTAAAGAAAAAACTAAAATTGAAATTTTGGGTTAAGAAAAGAACTTCATTGAGGATATTTGATTTTGATTTTGATAGTTAGCTTTCCTTTTCCTTCATTTTTTTTTCGAACTCAATCAGACGATCACTTCTTTACTTATATAATTTGTTAATATAAGATGTATGTCTCTTTGAAAATTCTCTGTGAGTACCCTAACTGCTAACGTACCGAAATAAAAAGAAATAGTAACAAGGAAATTGCCTTGAATATTGATGCAACCAATGTGTTTGATGAAATTACCAATGAAAGATAAATGGCCACCATCAAATTAATTAACTTGTTCTCTGCAATCACTCAAGCTTTTTACATAATATTACTAAGGATTACAACTTTGTACTCATTGACACATGTTTGCATGCATACAGGGAGAAGAAGTATGAAATAAATAAGTATTTTTAGAGCAGCAGAACGAGCACTGATCCTAATCTAGAATGAAAACAAGGCAATCCAAGACTGATTCAAAAATACAAAAGGAAATTGAAGAAAGACATTCAGATATGTCATTCCTTTTCTCTCTGTTTTTCTCTTTGCCCAGTTTCTCCATTTTTTTTCTCTGTTTTTCTCTTTGCCCAGTTTCTCCATCTTCTTTATTTTTCTTCCTCAATCTTTTGTGGTTTGGTTGTGTACAGTTTCTATATCACATATTGTTGGAATTTATGAATTTATGTTTTAGGTATATCAAAGAAAATGAGATGGTTTAACCATTGAAATGGATACACCTCTGAATGGGCACTTGATTAAAAACTTGTAGGATTCATATTGCACCGGTTTTGAGAAACTTTAGTATCACTTCACAAACTCCCTGAAGAAAACCTTAAATGACCATGATGATGCTGCATTGAGTAAGTGCTTTCTCTTTGTCATCTCATGTTATTCAGATTCTTGATATCAGTATATCATGTATGTTATTTCTATTCAAGAAAATAGTTCTATTATATAGAAAATGCGAAGTGGAGGACGACCATTGGCAATATTGTAAATATATGTTCATTTAAAGGGCAAATTGTTCAAGCAATCATATTTCTGTAATCTGAATGGGGTTAAAGTAAATTAGCCATTCATTTTGTTTCAGTTTGCGACCTATTACCTTTGTGGCTTAAAAAGGCACACACTCCATGAGTCCATGTCAAACTGCTAAATTATAGAAATTGAGTGTTTTTGTTCTGTTCATGTTCTTTTAGTTTTTCCAGAGGTGTTTTTCTTTGTTGCTCTGTTCACATTCATCTATTGTTTAATGAGATTCTCTAGATGGTTCTTTAATAATTAAAGGTAACAGAGAGCTCAAGTTAGTCCTTTCTCTGTCAGATTGGATATGCACTATTGATATGATAGAAATTTACCACTTAACTGGTTATATTCATGTACTCTTATCTCCTTATAAATGTTCTGCCGCACGAAAATCGTAGTTTAGGTTTGGAATGATATTTCTACAACATCCACTACTTTATTCTCTTGACTATTGAGAGAAATATGGCCATGAAAGGAAATCAGGTATCTTGCAGGTCTCTTGGATATGCTCCAATTCCTACATCCTTTAGTTCAGTGGGCAATTATATCAATGTGCTCTTAGATGGGGAACGAGCATTGAACGAACAATACTCAACTTGAGGCCCATAAAATATTTTTACAACAACAAATTGAGGTATTAAAATTTTTCTGCTTGAGTGATATCTTTATTTATCATGCCTCTATTATACATTTGGTATTATTCTGCAAAAGAATTGGTAAATTTCAATACACAAATTAATTTTACATGCATGAAACTCGAAGTGGTGTTTTGTTCAAATCTACTCATCTATGTTTGTGTAAAAAAAATTCAACTAATAATCTGATATAACTTTTGTTAATCTGTGAACTTGCAATTTAAGTTGTAGACTAATGTACATCTGATAACCTAATTGTTCTTCTCAGATGAGTTGTACACTGTTTATCATAGAGTATTTTCCTTTGTTATTTTCTCAAGTAATTTAGAGCTCACATGGCTCATGATTGATATTTACGATTCATTAGTTTGTTTTGTGGACAATGATATGTAGGTAGAGTTCAATATCACAATATGGATTGGAATGTTAATAAGAGATTTTATTACTCCCTCCATTTCATTTATTTGTTTTACTTTCCTTTTTAATCCGTTTCAAAAAAAAAATCTCCTTTTTGACAGCTCTTTATTATCAATTTTTCACGTGATGTGTTTAAGATCAACAAGATTAAAAGATATTTCATATATTCTACCTATCTTTAATTTAAGACCATAAGATTCGAAATTCTTTTTTACTCTTTAAAACTGTGTCAAATTAAAATCAAACAAAAAAATTGAAATAGAGGGCAACTTATCTTAACCGTCGACTATCCCTACTACTCCCTCGCCGGTCAATGGCAAACTTCTTTGCCTCTTCTCCAACAATCGCTACTGGTACTACTACTAAATTTTAAACTTCCGTTTCCAAAATTTATCTTTAATGTTGAAAATTCTCAATTTTGACAGTCATCTGCATTCACTCTTAAAGAAATAATTGGGTATTGAATTATAAAGAAAATTTCTTAACTTAAGATATCATGTATAACAATAGATATATTTCACAATTTATGTATCTATCCTATAATTATTTTCTTTTGTAAAAACTTATGCAATAACCACCACCATTCTTTTTGTCGTTTTACTCCTTAAATCCCTAAGGGAACTGGACGGTTTACTTACACAAAGCCAAAGAATAGAGACTTTGTACAATTGTGGAATCTGCTCGACTCTTTTAATGTGGTTGATACTTCGCTTATAACTAAACAGAACCGACAGAAGGTGCAACAATCGAGAGTTAAAAGAACAAATAGGAAATGTCATTTATTTATTAAATTCTTGCTCTTAACATTCTTCCCCTAGACCATTTTCTTAGGTTTCCCTAAACTATTAGTCTATGTGTAAGGCTAAACAAGTTCGTTACATTTTATTTATGTGCATTTATCACACACTTTGTGCAATTTTGACTTAAAATAACATAATGTTGAATTGTTATTTGGATGCTCAGTATTCAAACATATGGTTCTGCAGGTACAGTTTATGGAACTTATTTTTGGATTTATTTTTAAAATTTAGTAGCTGATCTTATTGTGAGAATAAGGAATAATTCTTAAGAATTGTGTATCGTTTTTGTTTTTGATGTGATAACATAAATGTATGGTCCTAAGGAATACAACTATTATGCTTCAAAACAACTAATGTGTAATATTATAGTGTCATAGTAGAAGGCTAATGAGCTGGAGGTATTGTTAAAGAGTATTTTGAAAGTATGGCATGTATATCGTGAGAATATAACTATCCGTAGAGGTTTTGTGGCCTCACAACTGAGATCTAGCATGCATTTTACGCGTAGATCATTGGTGTTGGAGGCATGTTAGGTTGTGTAGAGCAAAATCCTGCTCCCCTTTTTTTCATTGCAGGAAATTGAGACATTGGCTTTGAAGAGCTAAGCTCTCTCTTTTGTTAGGTCTTCTCTTCAATGTTGTAGAATATATATATATGTATTTGAATACATTAGCCAATTCTATTGTTTCTTGCTCCATTTTGAAATAAATAGTGTCAACTATAGAAGTCGGCATAAGAGTGTTATATTTTTATTTTATAATTACCATACCACTATAGTCTACGAAGTCTTTAAGTTTCTTTGCTTGAATGTTGGTCTATATGGAAAACGCACCAAAATGATAGACATTTTTACTTTTGTAAGAATACTAATGTCTCACCCTAGAAACATCACGTCTCCAAGATAATTTTTGTCTCTTTGATTTGAACCTCCATTCATTTTCATTAAGTAGCAAAATTCTAACCAAATTTTCCATTCTTATATTGTTTAACAGTGGTAAATAGTATGAACCATGGGGATGGTAATCTCTTTGATGTTTTGAATGGATTTTGCATTGTGTCTTACCAACTTCCTGTACAATCTGTTCCTGCTTAATTTACTCTCGAAAGAAAAATGTTGTACAAGTTGTTGCAGTTCCGATATCACTTTCACCCTTAGAAAAACGTATAGTAGAAATTAGATTGTTGTATTTTATACTCATTTTTACATCTATATATAAAAACTATAACTTTCACATTTTTCTCTATTCCAGGTTGCACGAAGACATTTGATTCAGTCCCTGCTCTGAGGAAGGCAGTTTTATTAGGCTACAGCCCTATTAGACCTTGGATGTCTGTAGTTTACAGGTATGCCATTACAACTAATCGTTTTGCTCCGAAAATAACCATATTTTATAATTTCGATGGCTTTTTTAAAACAACTTCTTGATTTGTATGTCTATTTTGAATTCTGATTTAGGTGGCTCTATGATTTCAATTCTTGTGAGTACTTTTACGATGGTTCATCATATGGCACCCAACATACCCTTCAAAACTTCTGAGGATATCTTCAATGAATTAGACTACATTTTTCAATTTATCCTTTTCTTTTGACATTTTGATGACAAACACCATATAGTTTAACCGTATGATTATGAAATGAAAGTATTCCATCGAGGTGCACTTCTGGTCATGGTCATGTATTATGTTAAAGTCCTTCAACCTAGAAGATGAAAATAGATGAATGTTTTCCTTTATCTCGATTAATGCCTCAACTTTCTGGACAACACCATCAATATAAACCTAAAAAGATATCACCCTTGGTTCTCTCTTGATTTAGCAGAGATAATTCATCTGTTAAGTTTGTTTTGGTAAAAAACAATAAACCTTGCCCAAATATTCATCTCGCTTATAGCTCACTCAATTGTTGCATCAAGAATTTTGATTGTATTTTTATCATATTTAAGTGCTTTACAGGTTCACTATAGAAACCAAGTTCGAGCTCTCTTTCTTCTATATAAAATAAACGCAATGAATCATATTGTTGCAATGTGTTTTGTTGTGTATTTTATGCTAAGCTCCATCCAACTGCTATGAAGTCTTCCAAAGTAAGCAGAGTTATTGTCATTCCATTATCTTGCTTTGTTATATATAGTAACATACAACATGAGGCCTTTTCTGATTTTCACGTTTTAGTGTTGTTCATCTTCATTTTGCCCTTAAAAGCAAGGTATAAAGGTTGAAATGAATTTCAAAATGATAATAATCAGCAGTTCCCTACATAGTGGGATGGGGCACAGGAAAAGGAAATGTATAGGAGGCAGAAGCTTTTGTCATAATTGATGATGTTAGACTTTTGTAATTTTAAGATCGAATGCACATCTGAATAAACTATGGTCTTGATGTTATGGGGATGCCAAATGATGTCATTAATGTAGCTTATTTTTGAGTTCTACTTTTTGAGAATGCTGGTGAGACATTCCAAGCAAAAGTCGTGTATCGGCAAGAAATTGATACTGAAACTTAGGAGCATTGTGAAGTGGATAAATTTCATGTAATGAGGAATTCTGAGAAATCATTTACTTTTGTAATCAAGATTTTAACCTAATAATGTTGGTGGCATATATTTGTACTACACTTTATTGTGCTCTCTTTGTGGTTGATCTGAATCATACTACATCCGGTAGAAAATGGTTAAAACATATTCCTTTTATGTTATTGTTATTGTTCTCTTGCAATTGAACAAAAAGTTAGGTCTTCTCTTATCTCTAGATTTAAAAGTTAAAGTAGATGTTCCATTAAAAAAATGTTCCTTTATAACACGCATCGAAAGATCAACAACAAGTGGTAACACTGAGTCTGCATACAAGTCATTCTTCACATTAGATCAATTGCCAAATTATAAAAATGTAACCTCACAAGGTACTAAAAAGAGATAACAAAACCTTATAAAGAAGCGTATAAGAGCATTAGTATACAAGCTTTATTGTTCTTTTTTTTTAGAATGAAAAGAAAACAGAGATTGAAAGAGCAAAAAAGGGATTTTTAATGTATCGGCCGGAAAAGGGAATGAGGGGACCAAAGTCAGCAATAGCAGTTTTGAGTCTCACTATTAAATGTACTTTTACTGAACAAACAAAAACAATGCAATCATAGAAAACTCTTCATTAATATATTACCCATGTCAACATTTCTATTTGTTGCTCTGCTCTGTTCTTATGTGGGTTTTTTTTCTTCTTGTGAGGATATTGATTTATTGGATGGAGGAGACGCAATAAAAATATCAACTACTGATTTTGCCAAATAAAATTTGTGACTTAATTTATTGTGGTTGATTTGGAAAATTACATTGATGATTTGCTTGGCTTTGTATGAATGCATAGTAATATATACAATAACCATTCACAATATATTTTTACCAAGCTTGACAATGTTTCCTACCAACATTATTTAAAATGAATGATAGTGTATCTCAGTAGTTTCCTCAATAAATGAGGAAGCTATGCTTTATAAATTATGATTATTCAGAAATATTTATTGCTATTTCAGATATCAGTCATATTTTTAAGATAGATTTAAACAAATAGAATTATATCATAATTTAAAATGTTGGGCCCGTGCTTAGCACGGGCAAGAACCATCTAGTATATATATATATATATATACACACATATATACTAATTTAGTATCAATTAAGCGATATTATCAGCCATAGTGATATTAATATGGTTTATACCATAAAACACATCATGTTTATTTAATACTATATGTGGTATTTAATACATGGACAAAATGAGATCCATTAGGTATTGTTAGGTAGAATACCTATCGCATTTTTAATTTCACTAAAAGTTAACAAGTGTCTTATGATTTAATTTGATATGTGAATATACATAAATACATTAAAGGATGAGACACTTTTTAATAGAATATTTTTCTATTGCTAAATTTGAATCTTAAATTTTAAAAAAATTAGTTGGCAGACGATTATTTGCAAATGGATAACTCATTGATAATTTTAGTTATCAAAAACATTATTATATTTTCCTTCCTTATCAGCCACAAAACAAAAAGGCAAGTTTAAAAAAAAACTTCTTTTTGCAAACATTTTTTTTTAATTCATAAAATAAGATACGTGTACCATCGATATTTTCTTGAATATTTCTTTATTCAAACAAACATCTAAAAAAAAAGAAAAAGAAAAAGAGACGTGTTCGAACTTTTTATCTCTAATACAAAGAAATCGAAAATAACAATACATCTTATGGGTCATTTGAAAAGTGACATAAAATAAATAAAGATATTTTATGTTTTGGATATCTTTTGAATTTATTTTAGTGGACGTTTAATCATGTTTCATGTTTCGTTTTTTTGAAATATTTTTTTAAAATATTTTTTGTTTTTCTAAATAAAAAATAATATTTAAAAACTGAAATTATATATGATTAGGAGTATAAATTAAATTCGTTTTCGACTTTTTAAAAGTAATTTGAAATGAAAAAATGAAAATATAAGTTTGTTATTTTTCAAATTTTTTCAAATTTTGAAATTCTACTTGAATTCCTACCTTTCATGATTAAACGCATTTTTCAAAATAAAGGTAAAATTAATCCCAAAATATCTTTCGAAAACTATTATTTTTATCTCACGGATCAATCGATACCTTATCGTTCCCTTTCAAGTTTTTGTCGTTTTTGAAAAGTTCCCTTCAATTTTTATTTTCCTATTTTGATAAGATAACCTACAGCTCACCAACGACCCCAAATTTTCCAAAAAAAAAACTTCTTGAAACCTTCATATTCTCTCTAATCTCCTGAATTTTCAAAAAAAATAATCCAATTTTTTTCAAAACCCTACAACCAATTCCAAATTTCTACCCAAATTTGAAAAAATCTTGAATAAAAGATTTGATTTTTATCTAATTTTTGCCCGTAAAATTGTGATTTTTGATTTTTGATCATAGTATCCATATGGGGTTTGAAAAAGATAAAGCAAGTTCGTCCTCTCATGTTTTACAAATCCCAAGAGAAGATACACCATTATTATCCAAGAATCATCAACATCTTTCTTCACCTTCAAAGACATTTGCTAATGTATTCATAGCCATAGTTGGAGCAGGGGTTCTTGGTCTTCCATATACATTCAAGAGAACAGGATGGGTAATGGGTGCTCTTATGTTATTTACAGTTGCATTTTTAACTTACCATTGTATGATGCTTCTTGTATATTCTAGAAGAAAGATTGAATCCCATCTCAAGATTTCACAAATTTCATCTTTTGGTGATTTGGGGTTTGCTGTTTGTGGACCTTTTGGTAGGTTTGCTGTTGATGCTATGATTGTTCTGTCACAAGCTGGTTTTTGTATTAGTTACATGATTTTCATAGCAAATACTTTAGCATATTGTTTTAATTACTCTAAAACTAATCCAAATCCTAAAATCTTTGGGTTTCCACCTAAAGCTGTGTATATTTGGAGCTGTTTCCCTTTTCAGTTGGGGTTGAATTCAATTCCTACTCTTACCCTTTTAGCCCCTTTGAGTATTTTTGCTGATGTTGTTGAATTAGGAGCTATGGGGGTTGTGATGGTTAAAGATGTGATGATTTATGTAAAGAGTAGTCATGTTCTTGAAGCTTTTGGTGGATTTAGTGTGTTTTTCTATGGTCTTGGTGTAGCTGTTTATGCTTTTGAAGGTGTTGGAATGGTGTTGCCTTTGGAAGCTGAGACAAAAGATAAGGCAAAGTTTGGGAAAATCTTGGGCTTTTCAATGGCTTTGATATCTCTAATGTATGGTGCTTTTGGTGTATTGGGATATTTCGCTTTTGGTGAAGATACAAAGGATATAATTACGACGAATCTTGGACAAGGATTGCTTAGCAGCCTAGTTCAAATTGGTCTTTGCATAAACTTGTTCTTTACTTTCCCTCTGATGATGAATCCAGTTTACGAAGTAGTTGAAAGGAGGTTTTGTGAAGGGAGGTACTGTGTTTGGATAAGATGGATTATGGTTTTGGCAGTGACGTTTGTGGCGTTGTTTGTGCCAAATTTTGCTGATTTCTTGTCATTGGTTGGGAGTAGTGTGTGCATAATTCTTGGCTTTGTGTTGCCTGCTTTGTTTCATCTGATTGTATTCAAAGATGAGCTAAGATGGCATAGTTTGGCTTGTGATGGTGCAATTATTGTAGTGGCTGCTTTTTTTTCAGTCTATGGAACCTACTCTTCATTGCTGGAGATATTTGTTGGAGCAAAGGAATAAATTGTTTGTCTTCCTTTTTAATGTACAAGTTCAAGAGAAAGTTAAGCGTGTTTGGGCGAGAGTATACTAAGATGGCTGACCCTCGGAAGTCCTTGTGTTGCATCCCTCAGTCTCTCTACTTTCACTAGGTAGGGGTAAGGTTTGCACACACCAAACCCCACCTGTGATATTACTATGGATATATTATTATTGTTGTTGTTTATCACGCATTATGGTTGTCCGTTTATTTTTCATCCTTCCTACCATTTGTAAATTTGCTTCCATGTAAGGCCATTGATAATAGGCTTGGTACAACTATGGAGGTTGTGTGAGGAAGATGATCATGTCTACTTAGTATTCACATTGCAAATGGTCATAATTTGCTCAAATGGCCATTTGGTTCTCTTCTTAGTACTATTTATATAATAATACTATATTATGTTTTGAGAATTGTCCTAAATGTGTGTATTTATTTTTAGTTTAAGTTGCGACTCTTGATACAACTTGCTTGGGATTGAAGCGTAGTCTTTTATTTATTTTTTGATGAAGTTGTGCCTCTTGGATAGTAAGTATGGATATATCTGACCTCGACTTGCTTGAGATTGATGTGTAATTGTTGTTATAGTGAAGTTGGTGCCGAATTTTGTTGATTTCCTCTCATTAGGGTTCTTTTGCGATAATGAAGTTGACTCTTGAACAATGAGAATTCATATAGCCGATTTTAACTTATTTCGAATTGAGACATAGTTATCGTCGGTCTTATTCACTCCAAAATAAGAATCGTTTGTTGCTAACTATCATGTAAAGAGAACGCTCTTTAGGTCTAACTTGGCTCCAAAATCAGCTTGTCGAGAATTGTTTAATATCATATAAAGAGATAAGAATTCAGAACATATACTTGCTAGAATGCCAACATTGATGGTGTTGGCTACAATAACATGTCATGATTACAGTTAAATTGACATGAGGTAACCACTTTTAATGGTACTATTTAAAATATAGCCACATTTACAACACAATTTAGTTA